TATGGTTAATTGAGATTTCACTAGAACCACAGAAGAGATTTTTCCCTTGTCCATCTGTCAGTCATGTTCACACAACCTGGAATATAATAGAAGAGAAATAAAAAATGTCTTGTTATGAGACCCCTACCTAATATGTTAAGAATAAGAGAATTTCTATCAGAAAAGCAAGTTAGCAAATAATTTAAATTATAATAAAACTCAAGGTGAAGTCAACCTAAAATTTAAGGCAAGCCCTATAAAATGGGAAGGAAGTAGATGGGAAAATATGGTATAGAGGAAAGAGCACTGGATGTGAAGTTGTAGGCACTGAGTTCAAGTTCTGACTACTACTTGTATAACTTTGGGCAAGTCACTGCAACTCTTTGACCTCAGTTTCCCTATCTGTAAAATGAGGGATTTGGACTAGATGGTCTCTAAGGAACATTTTTCTCTACTGGAAGATCATTATATAAATTGAAGCAAAAGAGTTGGTTGAATTTTTAAAGAAGGGATTCTTGACTTTAATGAAAGGGGTTCTTAACTTTTTGTGTCCTGGACCCTGTTGACAGTGTGGTGAAGCCTATGGGCCCCTTTTCAAAATATATAAATATATTTTTAAATAATGGAAGGACATGCTAAATTTCTGTTAGACATTAGTGAGAATAAAAATGTGATTTTTCTCTATCCAAGTTCATAAACCCCCTGCAATCTAGCCATGTATCTCTTAGGGGTATAAAAACCCCATGTTATTGGCTTAAAGCTTCCTGTAGTGACAAAAACTTGTATGGGGAGAGTGGAATGATTTCACATTGGATATTGGTAATAAAAGGACAGAGTAAAATCACTGTACCTCCTGCAAAGGTTAAGTTGTTAGATAATTCAGATTTAGAATGAGGAAAAAAAAACACTGTAGGAAATGGAAAATTAAACAAAGATACTCTCTCTCTCTCTCTCTCTCTCTCTCTCTCTCTCTCTCTCTCTCTTCCTCCCCCTCCCACCCTCTCCTTTTCTCTCCCCTTTTCTCTTTCCCTCTCCACTTTGGGAGTTAATTAAATAAACAGATTTCACTGTACAGTAGTTACACTGTATTTTAAAAAGACAAATGACCTGTTTTATGTACTAATTCCCCAGAGGTTGATCCCTAAGCATAAAATACAATCTTAATTACGTTTCCATTATTATCTGTTGAATAAAGACGTTTTTGCCTTTGCTTGACTATGAAAACTGAGTGGTACTGCATATTTAAACTTCAGCCACATTTCATTTGTTTTAGGGACTAAATGAATAGCTCATATAATAAATTCATATAATTTACATAAAGAAAAGAGAGGCAATGTGGTGGAAAGGTCAGAGACCTGGCCTAGGAGTCAAGAAGATCTGGTTTCAAGTCCTGCCTCTGACATAAACTAGCTGTGTGAGTGTGGGCCAACCCCTTGACATCTCTGAACCCTAGGCAGTTCTATAAAACTATGTTATAGACTAGTTGCTCATCTGTGTTGATGGAGGGAGTTTGCACACTGGAAGTTGACTTCACTGATAAAATAAGTGTTCTGATGACTCTCTTCCCCACCCCTCACCCCCAATAAATAAATAAGTAAAAAGAAATGTATACACATAGACAGGTATGTTTCTACTGGCTGGTAATACTTTACCTTCTCCATTCTCTAACACTAAACTTTAATATATTTCAGAACAAAACTTGTTCAATTCAATTCATATTCATCTGCTTCCATGAGTAACATCAAGACAGTGTTAAAACACATCATAGGGTTATAGTTTTGGAGTAGAAAGGAAACTCAGAGTCCAACTCTCTCATTTTATAGCTGAGAAAATGGAGGCCGTGTGTGGTTAATTAGGTTGAGAAGGCAAAGAAGGCCTAAGATTTCCACCAGTGGAAATAGCACTGGACACTTCCCAGCCCCCTCATGAGATCATGGATCCTCTGAAGTATCCAAGTAAGTATACTTATTGAATGTGCCGATTTCTTAATATGAAAATGGACTTAATTTCTTGCATTTGCTCTAACCTTTCCTGGATTTTCCCTTTATCCAGATAGCATCCCATAACCCTGGAACTCTCAGACCAGTCAGTATGGATTTGGTCAATATATTTCAAATGCCTAAATTTTCCATGGCTAAATTACTTTGGGAAATGCTGTTTGAGTTACATTTATGAAGTCATTTAAAAAAAATGTTACCTATTATATTCAGATTCATCTCTTTTTCTCTCTTAATCCTTATAACATTTTCTGGATCACATCATAATCCTTCCTTACTCTTTAAGTCTTACACTGACCTCTAGCCAAAGGAATATGATTCTCATTTGAAATTTCAATGAATTTTTAAAAGGCCTTATGTAAGAAAAGCAATACTTGACTTTTTCCTCCTGATGGGTACCCATAGGCAATTTATGGGTACCAATAAGCAACCTATAGGGCTGCTTAAAACTCTGCCACCAAGTCTTATAGACAAGCTAGTTTAATTGCCAAGATGTCAAGGAGAAAGACCATTGTAAGAATTTTCTAAAGACCAACTTCACCTTTTTATAAACTGGAGAGGCCAATGATTACTTAAGTTACTTGTGTACACCAAAGTCCTCAGGCAGAAAAGATTTTGTTGTCAATGGAAAAAGACTAGTCCAAAAGTGGCACCACATTTGCTCCCACTTATAGGCAATTGTCTTATTGTGAAAGATACAACCTTGGATTGAATCTGTACAGCAAATGTTCATTCACTTGAAATGTGACCAAATGACAAGGGATCAAGGTTAAGGAAAACCTTATCACTGAATCATTCTTTCCATAGTTGACAATTTAATATCCCTTTTACTAAAGAATGGTCTTCCATTAGCATGACCCAAGTCTTCATTCTGAAACCTCATTACAGGCCTGGAATTCACTCATTGGAATTACCCTCCTGCCCCTGCTGCCTCTCCCTCTAATTGGTTGTCTCCTTCCAGAACTTCCATTTAAGAAGGAAGCCCCAGGCCAGCCATGTCTCATTCCTCTCCAGGATGCACTCAGGATATCCTCTACCATGCTCCCATGTCAGGTACCTTTATCTCTTCCTCCTACTCCCACTTTTCAGCTTCCTTTTATGTGTTGTTTTCTCCTTGAGGGCAGGGACTATCTGCTTGTACTTGTATTCCCAGCACTAAACTCAATGCTTGGCACGTAGTAAGCACTTAATAAATGCTAGTTGACTGACTGAATAATGCCAAATAGAAATGGGTGAGAAAAATATTCTAGAAGATAATTCCAAAATTTCAATCTCAAATTCAAAATTCTGATGACAAATGATTTCAACAATTCGACAAACAATTAAACACGTACTGTGTGCCAGGTGTGGCAAACAATAGAGGTGAGAAAACTGACTTCAGAGCCACGATAAACTGGATTCAAATTCTACCTTTAATACATACTGACTGTATGATCTGGGCAAGTCACTTAACCTGTCAGGGCCCCAACTAACTCTCTAAGATCATACTTTTTACTTGGTATCTGTGAACTTAAAAAACAAAACATTTTGATAACTATATTTCAAAATAATTTTGGTATAATAATGATATCCTTCTTAATCTTATGTATTTTATTTTATATATTTAAAAACATTATTCTGTTCCCCAACTGATAAATGGTCAAAGGATATGATCAGGCAGTTTTCAGATGAAGACATCAAAGCCATCTATAGTCATATGAAGAAGCACTCTAAATGACTTTAGATTAGAGGAATTCAAATTAAAATAACTCTGAGATACCACTTCACCAATTGGACTGGCTTATATAACAAAAAAGGAAAATGATAAATGTTGGAGAGGATGTGGGAAAATTGGGACACTAATGCATTGTTGGTGGAATCGTGAACTGATCCAACCATTCTGGAGAGTAATTTGGAACTGTGCCCAAAGGGCTATAAAACTGTTCATACCCTTTGATCTTGCAATACCACTACTGGATCTGTATCCCAAAGAGATCATAAAAAAGGGAAAAAGACTTCCATGTACAAAAATATTTGTAGTAGCCCTTTTCATGGTGGCAAAATATTGGAAATCGAGGGGATGTCTATCAATTGGGCAATGGCGGAACAAGTTGTAGTATATGAATGTAATGGAATACTACTGTGCAATAAGAAATGATGAGCAGGTGGATTTCAGAAAAACCTGGAAAGACTTGTTTGAACTGATGCAAAGTAAAATGAGCAGAACCAAGAAAACATTGTACACAGTATCAGTAACATTGTGTGATGATCAGTTATGAATGACTCAGCTCTTCTCAGCAACACAGTGATCCAAGACACAAGTACAAAGTATCCGTGATGGAAAATGTTATCTACATCCAGAGAAAGAACTGACTCTGACTGCAGATTGAAGCATACTTTTTTTACTTACTTTTTTTTATATCTTCCCTTTTCATCTGTTTCTTCTTTCACAACTGTGACTAATATAGAACTGTGTTTTACATATTTGCACATATATAACCTACATCAAATTGCCTACCATTTTCGGAAGAGGGGAGGGAGGGAAGGAGGGAGAAAAATCTGGAACTCAAAACCTTGTAAAAATGAATGTTAAAAATTATCTTGACATACAATTGGGAAAAAATAAAATACTATTTAAAAAATAAAAACATTATTCAGAAAAGGGGTCTCTAGGCTTCTCCAGACTGCCAGCAGGGGCCAGACACAAAAAAGGTGAAGCCTGAACTAAGGTTATAGGTTGTAGTGCAGTTGCTAATTGACATTAATAGAGAACGGTTCCTCACTGAAGAGTCCTCATCTCTATCAATGAAATCACAGGTTTGGACAAAAATAAAAGGGCAAAGTACTGGGGATACAAAGACAAAACATATGAAATAGTCTTTGCCCTCAAGAACCTTATATGCAAAAAAGCAGTGTGAGTATGTGTGTGTGTGTGTGTGTGTGTGTGTGTGTGTGTGTGTGTGTGTGTGTGTGTGTTTTCTGGTTGTGGTAGAAATAGACTCTAGAAAACCCTAATCTCCAAAAACTCAAGAGCAAAACACTCACCACAAATTAACCAGGAAGGGGTGTTCCAGACATTGCATGATCTGAAGTTCCTTGAAGACATTTCTTACTTCATTGCGCTCGACACACTTCTGTTTGTTCATGTACTTCATGGCATACATCTTCTTGGTGTCATTCTTCTGTACAATGCAGACCTGATAGAGCACATCCAAGTGAGGAATTGATTAAGAGAAACAATATCATGTTGGAGATAGAGAAGAGAAATATGAAACTCCTCCTTAGTAGTGCTGTCAGGGTTTCCTTGCCCAGCTCATGACTCTGAAAAGTTCTATTTTTTAAGACTTCCAATCAGATCTAAAGAAAAAAAATTTCAGGTCTCCTGAACAGTGTTAATTCAGCATTCATATTTTCTCAAATTCCTTCCCATTAATTAATCAGAAATTTTGGTGACTTTTTTTTTAGCAACCTTTGAAACTTTATAATGTCATTAAAACCTAAACTAGATTATCTGAAGTCCCTGCTTACTGAAAAGAGGTCTAATAGTTGGTGTGAACAATGTTGTAAATTTCTGTATTCTTCACAACCCAAATGTCACTTCCTCCATGAAGTTTTCCCTGATCCCCTGGATAATAATAACTTTCTCCCTCCTTGGAAAAAAAACACTCTGTTTTGTCTCCTTTTAATGCATTTAGAGATAGGGATAAAGAGTGGACCTGTGATTTCACTGATATAGGGAGCTCCCAGAGGAGAGAATGACCTTTATCAATACAGGTCAACACCTTCTCTGCAATTTATAGTCTTAGAGCAGACCTGCACAACTTGGCAGCAGGTAGGGGCCAAAATTAAAATAGGCTGAACTTCTTCTGGTCATAGACTAGAGGCAGATTGCAGATGGTTGGTTGCCGTGGGCCATGTGGCAAACAGAAACATATGCAGTGGCAACCCTACGTTTTTTGAGGGTGGCCTGAAATCCTTTGGCAAGCCCTCTGAAGGTTATATGTTGTGCAGGCCTGTTTTAGTGAGTTGTCTAGATCACTGAGAGGCTTGCCCAGTATCATACAGTCAACATGTGTCAGATGTGGGACTTGAGCTCAAGTCTTCCTGACATTGAGACTGGCTCTCTACACACTAAACTCCAGTATCCTCTTTTAAACCTACTTAACCTTATTATAGTATATTATAATTATCTCTGGGTCATTTTCCCTACTAGACTCTGATCTCTATGAGGACTGGAACTGTGTCCTTCTTGAACTTTGTACCTCTTCCAGGACCTAGCACAGTGCTCAGCCCACAGCAAATGCTTAATTAAAGTTTGTTGAGTTTTTATTGATTTTGTTTTTTGTTGTTGTTGTTGTTGTTTTTTTTGTTTTGTTTTGTTTTGTTTTTGGTGAGGCAATTGGGGTTAGGTGACTTGCCCAAGGTCACACAGCTAGTATGTGTCAAGTGTTTGGTCTGAGGTCAGATTTGAACTCAGGTCCTCCTGATTTCAGGGCCAGTGCTCTATCCACTGTGCCACCTAACTGCCCCTGTTTTTTATTGATTTTGAACAAACTCAGAAAGCCAGATAGGGTTTTTAAGCAGAGAGGAAAAAATTGGTAAAGCCAGAAAACGCATGTAAATGCCTCTGGCCTACTTTTAAAGGCTGTTTTAACACAGGTTTCCCCCTTGGGTCATTTTCCAACGTTATATATAATAAGGTTATCAGGTCTTAAATTTAATACGTTCCCAAAGGAGTTCAAGGTGAGTGCCTTTAAAAAAAAATTGGCAGATGTGGAAAGATGGTATAGGAATTAGAAGAGGGGAGGAGAAGAAAGAGAAATTAGTCATTTTATTTTCAGTGTTAGTGCCCAGGGTACACTATGGCACAAAACGCATTCTAGAATAACTTAAATGAAAGACTGGAAAAAATACCCAAGTACCATGATCAGCAACAAAATTCTCTTGATTTTTTTGTCATCACCACTTTCACTGAGGACTTCTTTGTAATATTCTCTACTGGTTAGTATTTCATTTTTGCAAGTTTTTTGCAAGGATTATATATAAAAATGTGTGCAAAAAAGAAATATGTTTGCATATCACTACTGTTAGATTTAGGATTAAACACACACATACACACACACACACACACACATACATACATACTCACACTTGCATCTGCTAAAGGACCAAAGAATTTTGTCTGAATGCATTTCCCCCTGAACCATAAAAGTCCTGAAAGTTACTTTGTCATATCAACTGCTGCTGGAGCTCCAGACAATAAAACCTAGTTTTTAATTTTTTTTCTTTTTCTTTAGCATAAGGGAGATTTTCTTCTTTTCCCATGTCTACCATATTGCCTCTCTTCCATATCACAACTGCTCAGTAAATATTTGTTGAAATTAATTAAGATCTTATACACTGGAGCCCAATAAGTAGTCTTGATTTTAATTCCATATGCTTTAGAGATAAGTATTTATTTAATATCTAGGTATAAGTGACATTCCTTAAATCATAATGAAAGTCTCTAATATATTACAAGAATGTTCAATTCAATTTGATTTAGCAAGCCTATATCATAAGTTTACTATGTACATAGGTCTGTACCAGTCACTGAGGATGCAAAGACAAAAAAAATCATCCTTAACCAGAAGGAGCTTGTGTGTGGTTGTGGTTGTGGTTGTGTGGTTTGTCCTTCCTTCTTGACAAGGACCATGACATCAGGGAGATGATGACATGACTTGCAATTGACTTTGATTTGAGTGAGGGAGGTCTGTGCATGGTCACAGCCTCACTTTCTCCTCCAGAGCCATCTGGGTCCAGTGGCCAGATATTCATCAGGATGACTGGAGAAGGCCAAGGATGCAGCGGGAGACCTTGACCCTTTTAAGCTAAATTTTTTCAGATTCTTACTTTGAGTTAATGCCCTCAGTGAATAGGCCTCTTTAAGAAGTGAGTCAAGGGATGGCTCCTTTAATTAAAAAAAAAAATCAAACTGGGAGGGGAAGACCCTCAGGGTTACTGGCCAAAAGAGAAGTAGTTACTCTTTACATTCACTCTGAGGAAGGCCCAAAAAATAACCATGAAGTGCTGCTTGGTCAGGGCCTATTGTCCAAACCATGAGATCAAGAGTGAATTGGGTTTAAGGCTTGGTCTTTGAGAAAGAAATCTACCCAATAAACTCCAAATTAACTAGGTAGCTTTCAGCCATTTACCAGAAGGGGAGGGGAGGATTTTCTGAAGGATCTAAACTCTTTAAGGAGTCATCTAGTCTGGTTTTAGTGAAGTTCTACATGGGATTGTGGGGAGTGTCTCTTTAATGCTATGTAGGTGAGTGAGGTTTGTAGCCCTAGATGGTGGGAACTAAAGGAAGACCTTGAATTTTGGTGGCAGGGCCTTTTTTTGAGTAGTTATGGCTTAGGTTGGCTTGTGGTAAGAGTTTTATGATGTATCTCTTCTAAGAGGGAAGGACACCTAGAGGGTAGAGTGGATTGAGAGGGAGGGGGCACTAGGAACACTCTGAATTGGTGTCTTCTGTTTTTTATTTAAGGAATGTGCTTTGAAGGAAATTAGACATTCTACAAGGTAGAAGTGAAGAGGTGGTCTGGCAGTCTAGACATGATATAACATACATATACAAAGTCATAAAACCAGGACTCTAGTGCATAGGAAACTTATAACAGGTCATTAGTCTCTAGAGTATTTTCCGTTATGATCTTAATCAGTAAATAGTCTGGCTATCCTTGATGCTTTTGTGCACTAGCAAAGGGTCAATTCAGTTTTGATCTTTACCTTTCCAAAACTGCCTTTTCCAATGGCACGCAAAATTTCGAAGTGATCAAAGTTGACTGTAAAAGAAACAAAAATGACAACTTGGTAAATGTTTGTTGACTAACCACTTGAGATTTTTTGTGTTACTATGCAGAGATTTTTAGAAAAACATGGATACCTTGCATGAAATAATGAAGAGCAAAATGAGCAGAACCAAGAGAATGTTGTATACAGCAACAGCAATATTGTTTTAAGAACAACTTTGAGTTATTTTGACAATTATAAATACCCAAATTAACTACAGAGGACCTATGAAGGAAGATGCCATCTGCATCCAGAAAAAGAACTGATAAATAGAAGTACTTATAGAATGCTTTTGCATATATATTCATATTTGTATTTAATGGTAGCCTTATCTAGGGTGTGGGGGGAAGGAAAAAAAAAGACAAAAAAAGAAATTTCCATGATAACTTTATTATATATTTAAAACAAATAGCAAGTTGTATATAATAGATTTGCGGTTTCATGTTCAATCTTCTTTTAAAAAATTCTACTGTTATGGAAATGCTTGTTTTACTTCATAAATTAAAAAATAAATAAAAATTATAAAAAGAGATAAAAGTAAACAAAGGTTTTTATACTCAGTTTTCTCTTTATGTGAGGTGTAAGCTTTGTGCAAAATACGTTTCATCAATGATTCCTATAATGCCAAACAACATTTCAGTCAGTCAGTCAACATTTATTAAACACCTACTATGTGCCAGTCACTATAGTAAGCACTGGGGATATAAGAAAAGCAAAAAAAGCAATCCTTGCCTTTGAGGAGCTCACAATCTAATGGGGGAAACAACATGCACGGATGACTTCTCTTGTATAAATAGGAACTTTGCAATCTTCTGCTGTGTCTGTACTTGTTCCTTACAGAGTTTTCTGCTATTGTAGCTTGAATGAATTTGTCTTTTCCTAAGTAAGGAGTATATCATCCTTAAGGAAGTGGCACAGAAATGGATGCCTAGTCTTTAAGTATTTTTACTTATCTGAAGGTATGTGCATAGTACATGTGACAGGAAGAGAAGGTTTGCTGGTTATTTGGTAAGAGTAAGGGTGGATGAGGGCAGCTAGGTGGCGAAGTGGATAGAGCACCAGCTCTGAAGTCAGGAGGCCCTGAGTTCAAATCCAGCCTCAGACCAAACACTTGACACTTACTAGCTGTGTGACCCTGGGCAAGTCACTTAACCCCAAATGCCTAAAAATTAAAAAAAAAATTAATTAAAAAGAGTAAGGATTGATGAACTCAGTGCTGTTGTGAAATCCACAAAATATTCCAAGACCTGGAAGAAGACCTCTAGTCTACTGAGTAATTATTCAGTGGAAGATTTATAGAAAGACATTGACAAGAAGCATACTGGATGAGGACTTACAGATGGTC